AGTCGCATATGAAGCTGGGCCATTAGTGTTAAAATGCTCCCTGCCAATAGAGCTTTGTCTGTTGATATCAGAAACCTATCAAATAGATCAGTTTTACCTCATGTCAGGATCTGGGAAGTCAGCACATTGTCCTTCTGTCTGCCTGACCCTTGCACAGTGTTTTTCTTTGCTTTCTTTTATAACACAGAATTGGTCTTCTTTGGTTGGATGGAAAGCTCTTGATGAGCACACCTGATAGTACTGCGGGTTGGCCTGAGTAGTCACCTTCACCTATACCCCATACAGATCATCGTTATATTCCACCAACTGGCCTTCGAAGATGTTTTCTGTGGTTTCCATGTTGACAACCTAATACTGATTGGAGACATTATCTGTGTCAATTTCCTCTGGTTCTTTTCATAGAATACTAGGATTGGAAGGAACCTCGAGAGGTCATCGAGTCCAGTCCCCTGCCCTCATGGCAGGACCCAGTACTGTCTAGACCAGTGATTCCCAACCTTTTTCCCATGGAGGAACCCCTAAAATAATTTTTCATATCCTGAGGAACCCCTACCTATGAAAACTTTTGCTTGTCCAGAAAAAGTTGACAGCGGGGAGTGCAATTCAGTTACTGCTAAATGTTTTCAAGAAAATTTATTTGTAAAGAGTTGTTTATATGTCAGCTTAAATTGTAAGAAAAAAATTGGAACATTTTCCCTGTCTTTTTTTGTATTCTTATCTTTTTTTTTCAAATATCAAATATTCTCCCCTTCCTGCCTCACTCTCTTTCTTTTCTCCTCCTCCTCCTGCCTCACTCTCTCTTTCTCTTCTCCTCTCCCTCCTGCCTCTCACTCGTGGAACCCAAATGGCCGCTTGATCCCACGTGGTGGCCCGGCTGAGTGGCACAGAAGTCAGCTGAGTGCCAGGGTGGGAGGTGAAGGGCGTGACAGACACTTCAGGCCCCACCCAGTGTTATTTATTCCATGATTTCTAAAAGAACCCCTGATGATGGTCTGTGGAACCCCGGTTGGGAAACACTTGTCTAGACCATCCCTGATAGTCATTTATCTAACCTACTCTTAAATATCTCTAGAGATGGAGATTCCACAACCCTCGTAGGCAATTTATTCCAGTGTTTGACCACCCTGACAGTTAGGAACTTTTTCCTAATGTCCAACCTAAACTTCCCTTGCTGCAGTTTAAGCCCATTGCTTCTTGTTTTATCTTCAGAGGCCAGGAAGAACGTTTTCTTCCTCCTCCTTGTGACACCCTTTTAGATATTTGAAAACTGTTATGATGTCCCCTCTCATCGTGTTCAAAGCTTGTTCATCTTCTTTTCTCCTCCACTCTGTTTGCTTGGCAACTGACTCATATGCTTAGCCTCCCTGCTTAACTCTGTTTCCTCACTAGCAGAGACTTCAGAGGCTGATCAGACTCCATGGCAGGGCTGACCCTGGCCAGGGTCAGAGCCTGGAGTAACCACCTCACTGCAGGCCTTGATCCTGATCCGTCTCCACTCCACCCTTTCCCCAAGTCCTGAGCAGGCTCCACCCCCTTCCACCTCTTGCCCATAGTCCCCTTTGCCAAGCCACATGAGCTGCGGGAATACTGGGGAGCCTGGTGCGGGGCGGCAGCAGGGGGTGCCCTCCCACACTCACCATGGTGGTGGGAGCTGGGGCGATCCATCTGCATACACCGCTCATCTCTCAGCCCATTGCACTCTGTTTCACTGCAGCTGCTGGGAAGTGCAGGACCCTGCGGCTAGTCACTCAGCTTGCTGCTGCTGTGGTGAAAGGGAGCACAATGGGCCAGGAAATGAGTGGGGAAACAGAGACGGGTGCTGGGCCATTCTGGCCCCCACTGTGGTGAGTGCAGGGAGGACATGCTTGCCACCCCACATCAGGCTCTCCCGGTAATCCCCTGGCTGTCCTGGGCTCCATCCATTGGATGCTGGGGTGGCTGCTGAAGGGCTCCCCAATGCAAAGGACCTGGGGTGGCTGCCCTGAATCATCCTATGGATGGGATGGCTCTGCTCAAGAGTCCCAACTACAGTTTTCACTGAGACACAAATAGACTTGTCTCACCTGGCCTGCTCAGGGGCCCACAGCTCAACCACACAATCCCTGAAAAGACCATAACCTTAAGTCCTTTTGCCTACAATATGGGTTAGGTGCTGTATGCAAGCGTTGCCTGAAATAAACTGAAGATAGTTGTCAGATGATAGGCAAACTATATAGAGAGTCGTGATTCCCAGAAGAAAAAGTGCTTTGAAAACTATGGATAAAAAGCACCATGTGAAAACTAGATATTCTTTAAATAGCCTGGAGGAAATGCACTGTGCAATCACTGAAAATATTTGCTTTTGTCCTATATATATTACCTTAGCAAAATGGTACTGTGATAGTCATCGTGACCATTTTGTTCTATGGTTCCTTCCACTAAATCCACTTCTGATGGCTATTTCATGACCCTGACAAGATCTTTCATAAAAAAGCCTTCAAAGTTCAGCTTCAGTCTAGGTCTAGGAACAAATTTCATACTTTAATCTTACTAGTTACAGAGGAAGCTTCCATTTCAGCTCCACGGAAACAAAGAAAGAATGCACACTAATGAAGGCACTTAATTAGTTTCTTAGGATTTAAAAATTGGTAAATGTAACCAGCAGAGGAAAATTACAGGAACAAACAATCATCCATGGCTTTAGGCACCTGCAGCATGAACGAAGGGACTACACTTATCAAAAAGGATGTCTGAAAGTAATTTCTATTTAAAGCTATTGCAACTAAAGTAATCTGCAAGCACACAAAATATTACTGCAGTTCATCATGTACAGTTATGTTAACAAATAGAATGTTGCTAAGCCTAATTACTGCTATTCAACATATGCTAGGAGAACACAGAACACCAAAACGGAAATATCAGAAAACAAGTACTTTTGTGTGCAGCTGTTCTATGGTGTGCTGCCTGTATTTTATTGGCACAGCTTAGAGTCAGTGACGTAGGAGTCAGTGATGTAGGAGTCAGTGACGTTTTGTAGGTCTGCTGTGCTCCCCATTTCAGGAAGTTTATTGGACTCTTTTTGTTGTGTCAGATAATCATTTAGATGTAATATTTCCCTGCTTGATTTGTCCCCTTGAATAACTTAGCATTTTGGAAGAACCAGCTCTGTGCCAACTCACTAGACCACACCACTCTCTCAACATGCTTTGCTAATGATGTACTGTTCATTTAGGAGCCACTTCAGTGACCAATTAAATTGCCTTCTGGGGTGTAAGTGCAACATCACTAATAGCTCTTGCCAACACAACCCAATAACAGAACAGGAAGTGAAGCTATTGTTTGCAGGACTGAAAGGATGGTACAGGCCATCCTCACTATAAGTCCAAGATACGTTATAAAAACCTTGGACTTACAGCAAAACAACTTAAAGCAGGGATTTTTTTCCCCACGGCTGACTTGCATTTGCGCAAATTGGGGGTGTTTTTTTGCGTGACTTCAGAGTGGGGAATGGGAGGACTTATAACACATCAATTCCTACAAACATCAACGACTTTAGTGCGGAACAGACGTATACCGGGGTGACTTATAGCGGGGATGCCTTGTAGATAGAATGCAAACAAGTGAATTATAGTTTAGCCACGGTAGCTGTAATGGGGTTGTGTGTTTGGTAAGATGGCCTAATGATCAGGGCCTGCTCCAGTCTTTTAGTTTAATGTATATGGGATCTCCTTAACAGGGTTGAACTGGGTCTGCGTCCTTCCCCATCGTGCCTATCCCAGCACTAGCCATAATGAATCTTGAGTAAGTACGGGGTTGGCTGAGGCCCACCTGCTCCACCAGATCCCAGCTCAGAGACCTAAAAGTGTGTCCGTGTGGAATAGCCTATGGTCGAACCACTTCCTACCCGACCCCTTTCCTCAGTTTGGGGCGTGGCTACTATTTAATTGTAATCCTTTTCTCCAAGCCTCAAAGGAAGCAGTGGAGACTCACAGCCAGCCAGGGGTGAAAGTAACTTAAATTTCTGACAGGTACTGCCCTGTCACAAGAGGGAGAATTCAGGGTAAAGGTTTTGGGGGTAGGTTGTAATACCATAGTACCTGTAAGAAACGTAAGGTTGGGATGTAGTGTGGGAGGCTCAGGGCAGGGAATTAGAGTGTATGTGGGTATGTGGGAGCTCAGTGCAGAGAGCTGGGGGGTGTAGGAGAGCCCAGGGCAGTAGACTGAGATGTTGGGGGGATGTAGGAGTCAGGACATGGGTTTGGGAGTACAGAAGTCAGGGCAGGGTGTGTGTGTGGGAGCTGAGGTCTGGCTGGAGTGGTGGGGACCATGCTCCCTGGCTGCCAGATATTATGGGGCTGGCTGAGGCAGTGGGGACTATGTGGCCTGGCACTGGCTACCGCAGGGCAGCAGGCACTGTGCTGCCTGTGTGCTATGTCCACGTTCCCCAGAGCTGTCGGTGCTGACTTGGGCATACTGGTGTATGGTGGCCAGCAGCATCCAGAACCCCACCTCCAGCCAGTCACTGTCTGACCGGTGCACTGCATTAGGGCGTACTGACTTATTTTAACCTCACAGCCAGCCCCCTTTGGTCAGAGTTCCTACCTGGGCTGCTGGAACTTTCTTCATCCTGCTCTCTTCCCCAGGAACATGCGGGGCACGGGCCGAGAAACAGAGGTCTTCTGGCCCAGTTCTGCTTCAGCCCTGCCTCAGTCTTAGTGTGGGGTTTGTAAACCCCTTCACGGTATGACAGTAACATCTCCAAGATATGAGTTAATACTTGTATTCTTAGAAATCTGTTAGGAGGCCTTTAATAATCACAAATGGATAGCTCTGTCCTAAAAGATACTGAGGATAGAAAATTGCTCAATATATGCCCATGGCTAATCCTGGCAGGTAGACAGGAAAATTTAACCTAAAGATAAGGTAATTAGAATAGAATGTTAAAATGTATTTGGGCATGCATGATCAAAAGAAAATATTTTATATACCATCTTCATTTTGTGACTAAAAATATTTTTCAGCAACTCAGATGTTTGTCAAGTTTTGCTGTAACTTCACAAAATAACCAGTAAGTATATTATCTCTTCTCTGCCTCCTAAACTGTTAAACATGTTATTTTCATTTTACCATCTAATGGACCCTTCACAAGAAAGTTACATTATGCTTGGTACATTAAACAGCTGAGAAATTGTAATAGGCTCTTTGAAAGACATACTTTTTCATACAGAGAATGGGTATATCAAAATGACATATATTCATTCTAAGAGTGTGGATCATAACAAAATAATGCTTTCTTTTACTATCATTAATTTCATAATTTGCAGCAGAAGGTGGTAAAGACTTCACAGGGAGATTGGACAACTATATGGATTAGGAACTATTTCTGGACCAACGGGCCATCCAGTCTTGCAGCATGAGTAGATACCACTAACTCAAACCCAGGTGTATTGCAACCTCAACAATAGTTTAGCAGCAGCTTATGAATCCAGGAGGGAAAAGTATTGATCTTCTGATAAGGTAATTTAATGATGTACTTTTCAAACACGAAGTGGAATGAATGAGAGCCTTTGTACAATCTCTATAGCTAAAGTGTAGTTACTAATTAATTAGTGCTAGCAAAGAAAAAAAAGGTAGAAGATTGATAATTTTCACAGGCAGCAATGATTTCTTGTTGGTTATAGATTTAGACCACCACTAAATGCTTGATTTAAGCATTGGAAAGATCTTTACCCTGGTTAGGTCTATTCAAGTAAAGTGCACCTTTAATTCATTTCTGAAAGCTAGAAAGTGACCATATAAATCAGGGTCATATCACTATTAAAAACTATTGTCAAAACTCCAATATTTTAAATACATGGATATAATCCCAATACTTATGTAATAGTTTAACTTCAGATTCTTGTGAAAATATTAACAAAACAATTCAGCCTCGCAACAGCTGGCTGTTAACAAATAGGTTAACAAATAGCATTATCATTATTTTACAGCAGTGTTTCTCAAACTGTGCTCCGCGAGACATCTCCAGGGGCTCTGCGAGGTTGACAAACTGGAAACATCAATAGGTACAACACAGACAATCTGTGGACCGCTAGAGCTCCGCATAAATTTTTACACATGTAAAGGGCTCTGGAACCCAAAAAGTTTGAAAACCGCTGTTTTACAGATTGGTGAATAGACATGGAACAAGACAGAACACCTGCACTGCATTTTTCAGCTCTGCAGCCTGAGCCGAAGTTAGTGGACACAGGCCAGTTAGAGATGGCTAATTGCAATGTAGACACACTTAGAGAGACAAGATAACCTTACCCAGGGTCACACAAGAGGCCTGTAATGGTACAGGAAAGTAAAGCCAAGTCTCACAAGTTCCAGGGTGATATCTGAAATGTTGGACCATAATTCCTCTTCAGCCGAGCATGTCTGGTCATAGGTTTCTATTTCCAGTGCAAGGTCAGCTTCTTTTTTTCTCAGCACATTTCTAGTAAGATCTTGCCCTAAAATGAAACACAGCATCCCTCCCCCAAACCTGAACCTGCTGCAACTCTGCAATACTGGAAGCAGTTCTGGCTGCCACAGAATGGGGACAATGTAAAAACAGTAAAAAATTCAATAAAACCCTAATTACACCTATGCTGAGTGACAACCTAGGAGAAATTCTCACTAGGAACAAGGACATATTATTTCTATTTGATTACAGGATTCCTTATAATCTGAGAATAATTACATGGAAAGAAAGTCAGCTGCATAACAATAGCCCAGCTCAGTTTGAATTTTGAGGTATGGGGGAAGAGAGTAGGAGCCGCCAAACCTGCATCCCTGCTATTGAAGGAAAGAATGAAAATTAGCATATGGGTATAACTAGCAAATTGATGTGTGTCCACAATGGCTGATCTATTGGCCTTACCTGTAGAATATTCTAGTTTCCATGTAAATCAGGTATTACACACAATACAACCATTAATATAATGGCAGGGAGGATCCAAATGTTTAGAAACTGGGTCTGCTAATCCCAGAGAGATTGTTACATTCAAGCTGCCACTCAAAAGCTCTGGCAAAGTAGCAGTCAGCGGCTAGGTATAGACTACAAGGTTTTTGCGGAAAAAACTACGCAAAATGCACTCTGCATAGCTTTTTCCACTCTCTTTTTTTCAGAAGAGGTTAGACAGAAGAGCTAAACGGGCCAAATGGCAGAAAAGCCTCCTCTTTTGGTGGAGCCCTTATGCCTCATGAAATGAGGTATACGAGGCTCCCTGAAAGAGCGCATTTGCTCTTCCATGGAAAAAAAAGCTGAAGAGCAAGTGCGTTCCTTGGACGCAGCAGGCTTTTTGCGGGATACCAGAGCAGTTGAGTGATGTAACCCTTTGGTATCCCGCAAAAACCCCGTAGTCTAGACATAGCCAGTGTGCTGTGGGCCTTGTGGATGTGCCATCTACAAAGGGCCTGATTGGAAGTGCTCCTGTGTCTTTGATTGGTTGCATGTGCACTACTTAAACCTGGAGGGAACACCAGGAAATTGTCTGTGCAATTGGGAGGCTCTCCAGCCAGCTGCTAAAACAAACCTTGCTCTTTGAACTTATTCTGGTTCCTGACTTCCAACTCTGCCTCTGACCCATGGCCCCGAACCTACCCAGTAGGCCTGATGACCTGTGTGCCAGCCATGACAGTTTGCTTAGACATCCTGGAGCCCTCTAGGGAGGGAGCTGTCATTCCATTGTCCAGCTAATCCCATGGAACATCATTTGCAGGCGCGGGTTGCTCATTTCCAAGCAAAGAATCATATCCTGTGTGCTTGAGTGATGTAACTTCTGGCAGAAAACAAACCATCTAGGAACAGCTACCTCAGCTACAAGGCAGGGAGCACAACACTCCAGGCTCAGGCTAGAACAAGAGGCCACTGTGCCTTTACTCAACCATTTCTATGGGAACCACCAGAAATTCAGGGAATCTCTTAAATCAGCCTATCCTTGAGGCGCTGTCCCTGGACTTATCCCACTGATTGGATCAAGTTGGGACTGGTGCTCAGTCAGTTAAACAGAGAAGCTTTGGACTGGGCCTCCCCTTGCTGGAACAAGGTAAGTGTTCCAGTCTGTCAGCATCACACTTTCTCTTGGCTTGCACAATTGTTGATGATCTCCACCACAGACACTCAGCTGAAGCTTCCCAGCGGAAGCTCCAACAGGGGCAGAGGTCTGCCACACGGCATGTCGCACTTTTCCATCAGCTGGTGGTGGCCACAGAATGGAATGATGCAGTCCAACTGCACCAGCTCCAAGTAGGATTGAGTGAAGAGATCAAAGATCAATTAACCATGTGGAGACTTGTATGGGCCTGGATTTAATTATTGACTTAGCCATCCACATTTATGACTGGCTATGTGAGCAGTGCAAGAAGAGGGGAGTTATGCTATTGTAACCACCCCCAGGTGGATTTGAACCTGGGACCTCTGAAGTGGAATATAGGAGCCCCTACTCTCTGGGATAAAAGTCAGCTGGCTCCAAGCCCATGCTGTAGAGGCTCTTGAGCTTAACTTTTGCTGTATTCTAGGTACCACTTGCATTGCTCAGTAACCACACTAGGGCTGCATCTAGACTGGCAAGTTTTACCACAAAAGCATTTGCTTTTGCGGAAAAACTTGCCAGCTGTCTACACTGGCCGCTTGATTTTGCGCAAAAGCACTGACGTTCTACTGTCCGAAATCAGTGCTTCTTGCGCAAATGCTCTGACGTTCCCGTTCGGGCAAAAGCCTTTTTCTGGAAATGCTTTTGCGCAAAAGGGCCAGTGTAGACAGTTGAAAATTATTTTGCGCAAAAAAGCCCCGATGGCGAAAATGGCGATCGGGGCTTTCTTGCGCAAAACCGCGTCTAGACTGGCACGGACGCTTTTCTGCAAAAAGAAAATCATGCCAGTCTAGACATAGCCTCTGTGTATGGGTTACATAATCACCTGCATTCATCCCAGAGTCTGCTCCCCAAACCCATGCAAATTGATTGGCTCAAAAGTGTTGACTGTTGAATAAAAGGAAAACACAGATGCAACAATTTGTGTTTTTACTAAAGATATACTCACTGCATGCCACCAAGAATGCCCGCTTGGAGGCAGTCAAGAAAAAAAATGAGCCCAGGTTCCATGGAGGTGCTGGGGGCAGGCCCATGCTTAACTTCGGAGCTATATTTTGAACAGCCACCCTCGCCCCCAAAATTCTGACTAGCACCCACCCTGATCCACCAAGGCTGTTGCTGGGTCTCCATGAGCAGGTTTGTCTACCCCTGCCCCAATTCCTAGACTTTAGCATTTGAGATCCAGCCCGTGCCACAGCTTCAAAACACTGCCTATTTTTAGAGTTTAGCACAAGTCCTAGTCTGTCCACTGAGGCTGGGAGGCTCACTACAAAATTCTGTGCAGACAAACTGCATCTAAAAAATGGTAAATGATCAATTGCTTGACCTACTGCAAGCAGCTTCCTTTTCTGGAGGATTTCCAGCCAAGATTTAAGGACATTTAATTAACAAGAAATCTGCACAGTTCTTTCTTTCTTTCTGCATAAGCTAGTGGTTCACAATCCACAGCCCACAGACTACCTACAGTCCAGTCATCTAGTGTTGCAGCTCATATGATATCCTTAGGTCACATATGTAACCTACAATTGTAAATAGGTCGAGAACCACTGGCATAAGCAAAAAATAAAAAAGAGTCTAGAACTTCCCTAATGTGTATACGATAATATGGAGTTTTGAGCATTGGCATACATTTATCGTTGATCTTGTAATATCTTAAAATGAAAACTGTTTTTGAACTTTACTGATATGTCAACCAAGCATGATATGCCTTGGGATCTGCTCTAAATTTGGTCATGCCTATAGGCAGGGTTTTAAGGCACTCTATTCTTTATTTGATTCATCCTACCCATTATGTAGCACCCTGTATACTAACAGCATTATATAAACATCTAGGTTCTCTTTTACTGGAAAACACCAGTTGTGCCATCTTTCAGAATAGCAATGACCTTGGAAACAACAGCTGCCTCAGACAAGAGTTGGAATTGCATTTCTTAAATCCATTTCAGTAGCGTCTCTTCATTGTCAGTCTTTGTGGATACTGAAGAAACAAATTTAACCTTATTCAATAAGCATTTATTTCTCTCACTTCCATCTATAATGCTTGGTTAATGGTTTTGAAACCTATAGCATGTGCATTTTTTGCCCAGCTCTTTTGTGGCTAGTGAAAATAAATAAGCTCTAATAGGAAATAATGGATTTTATTTCCATGGGTTTCCCAGGCTATTTTAGTTAGGGATGTAAATAACTAGCAGTGGAAAGCTATCTTAATAAAAAGTAGGTTGCTGGAGAGCTATCTTGATAAAAAGTAGGTTGCCGGAGAGCCTCCAATGAAAACATTCAATAATTTTAAATACAGAAAAAGCATGAACCTTCTTGAAGCAAACTTGACACCTTTGCTAGAAGCTGATATAATTTGCCTTGAAAACAAGATGATCCTCAGAGGTTCTACTTGTAGACTGCATCCTCCGTGTACCAATACCCATTTCCTATGGCAAACACTTTTACATAAACCCACTATTCTCTTTGGCATCTCATTTTGTGGTTTGTAGGCAAAAAAAATTAGCAGACACTACGACACATTATAAACATACTAAGGCACACTGGTCATCACTTTTATGAGAGGATATTTAAGGGGATTATTAAAAAGTGACTGTCTAATGCAAAACTGCCTTGCTGTGCTATGTTCTAAAAACAGAAAATATCCCAGTAAAGACAATGCTATTGTACATGTTTTACTATTTAGTTGCACAGAGTTGAACTGGCTGTTGAATTCATGCATGCAATTGTTACTATCAGGCATTCTTACATTTACAGACAGAACAGCATTTAGAGAATTGACTAAACCACACAGAAAATAATGGAGTATTTGTAACTGGTATGGCGCAGCTCAGGCCACACCATTCACTGAAATGATCACAACAGTGCATATTAAATATTTCTTACACTACAAAATGGTACCAGAATTCCTTGGTTACTCTCATATCTGAAGCTCGTTGTACACACAGGATTACACTTGTATATCCCTTCTGAATGTTGACAACTTAAGCAGATTTTGAGACTGTTCAAAAATGCTACATGAAGATGCATGCTTATGGCTAGATATTTAGGTGTTAAAAATTTACAACTTCAGCTGAAATCAGTGAGAGCTACAAATGATCAGTCCCTCAAAGTTAAGCCCCAATATTAAATGAAAGGGAAAATTATTTCAAATGGAGGAGGGAAAATCTGACCCCAAATATAGGGTTTTTTTCCCCTGAAGTGCCTGTGTAAGTCATCAGAGGGCTAGACGTGTTAGCCTGAATCTGCAAAAACAACGAAAAATCCTATGGCACCTTATAGACTAACAGATTTATTGGAGCATAAGCTTTCGTGGGTAAAGACCCACTTCTGACATGCATCTGACGAAGTGGGTCTTTGCCCATAAAAGGTTATGCTCCAACAAATCTGTTAGTCTATAAGGTGCCACAGGACTAGTTGTTGTGTAAGTCATGGATCAGAAGTTCTACACAACTATAATTACACTATTTTTATACATGTTTAATGAGTTTTAGAGCAATTTTCTTGGTAATAAACAAAGCAATCAAGCGAAAGTTTGCATTTTTCAAAACTCATCCACCATGTTAACCACTAATAACCAAAGCCTGGTTATGTTGCATTGGTCATAGATTATTTATATATATTCACAATAAAGTTACTTCATACCATTTCACTTCCAGTTCCTTTTATCTTAATAAAATGATGGTGCCACAATGTTGAATAAAACAAGTTCACATACTCAATCTTTTTCATTTAAAAATATACTTAGTGAGTCAAGAACCACCATCTACTACTTTTCCTTTGGAAATCTAATATGCTCTCCTCTTCCTCAATTAAACGTCTCTATTTTTTAAAGAAAGGTTAAGTTACAATGTTATGACACTTCAAGTCTTCATCAGTTTCATTGGGCAAATGACATACTATAAGTAGGGCCCAACCAAATTCTATTTTATTCAACTTCACAGTCATGGGATGTTAAAAATAATAAATTTCATGATTTCAGCTATTTAAATTGGAATTTTCACGGTGTTATCATTTTAGGAGTTATGACCCAAAAAATAGTGAGGAGTTACAAGGCTATCATGTGGGGGTGTGGCAAAGCTCTAATTGTACCCCTGCACTTCCTAGTGGATTTTTAGTATACCTCAGAGGCTCATAGTGACCCACCCACTGCCTCTTATCTCTGGGAGTGATGAGGGCTCCCCGCTTAATGATCCATTTTCATCATAGACAAGTCACTAGCTTGAAGGAGGAAAATCCTTTTGTGGTTCCAGAAGTCCCATTTTCCCCAGTGGTGGCCCACTGGGTGTGAGATGGGCAGTCCTGGTTTTCAGCCAGGTTTCAGCCCAAGGCTCTAGGTAGTGGCCAGAATAGTAGGCTCTCCCTGGGACACATTCCCAACCACTCGCACAGTACCATCTCCTGACACACTAGGTGAGAACTTCTGCAGGTTGTAGCATTCAGTTCACCTTCACACTGTACTTCCTCCTCTCCCATCTGTCACGTCTCTCCTTCCCCCTCTTTACCAGAGGGGGGGGGGGGGGGAACCTTTTATAGTGGACCAGCAGCCCTAACTGGCTGCAGGTGTCCAATTAATCTGCTGCTGCAGGCCAGCTCTTAATGAGTCACAGGTGTCTGCCTGTCTTAATTGCTGAGCAGCCATCTCTGGCAGCCTTTATAGGAAACAGGAACCCACTCACCCAACTACCAGTGTGCCTGCCCTCCACCAAACTCCTGCAGCGTACTGCCTTCAGCCTGTCACAGGGGTTATCAGTACCATTACTCTTATTTCTGCACTGTGCTGGTAGTGGCACTGCCTTAGTGCCTTAGGCAACTGGAGAGCAGCTGCTGCTGACTGGGAGCCCCAGTCTGAAGGCAAAGTCACTGTCAGCAGCCCAGAAGTAAGTCTCCCGTGGTATAACCATCCTTAGTTCTGTGCTGCTGTCTGCAGAGATGGGCCCTCAGGCAGCAACTGCCACCCAATGGCCACCCAATTCTCAAGGCAGCACAGAAGTAAGGGTGTCAATACCTTAACCTTCCTAAAATAAACTGTACAACCTCCTCCCACGCATCTCCCTTTTGAGTCAGGACTCCCAGTTTGAGAAATACTGGTCTCCTCTGTGAAATCTGTGTAGTGCAGGATAAAAACACACAATAAAACAGATTTCAGGGGAAGGACCAGATTTCACAGTCTACAACATGTTTTTCTTGGCTGTGAATTTGGTAGGGCTCTAACTATAAGGACAGATTAATGTTGTCCATTTTCATTGGATCAGATAGTGATCCAGAGATCTCCAATTGGAGGGGATCTTACATTCCTAGATCTACTGCATGACCCTGGGTAGACAATGTGCCACATCTTCATCCCCATCCTGCCACCCCCTGTGCCTAGATCTGTGGAGGAAACCCTGCAGATCCTTGCATGGGGGAACAGATGAGAGTACGGAACACTGCACATTGCCTCCTAGATCACTTTGGCACATTTGAACATTTTTCTCCTAATCCCTTTTTAAATCTTTCTGAATTACTGGCCTCAAAGCTTCACTATAGAAGCATGATTGTATTTATAACTTTATCTGAACAAGTGGATCTCTGTTTTTGTTAAAAACATTGTCCAAATGCATCCTTACATCCTAATCCTCAGACAACATCATACACAACTACTAAAACATTAAAGGGAAAAATTTCCAGTGAAAAGTAAACTGTTACTTTTTGATAGAATGGGCTTGGGTAAGGAGTTTAAATACACACGTAAAATATGACAATGTTCCTTTAAAGAAGAATTTTGGATGAAAAAGATTTAATGATACCATTTATTCTAGGATTGTCTAAGAAACTTTTAGTATATGGTAGCAAGCTAGTTAAGAAAGTGGTCACTGGTGAGGATGAGTAGGGTAGCAAGGAATACTCCATCTATCAGTTGCCAGTTCTTGAAAGAAAAGTTCTTTTGGTAACTGAACAGAAAACCATTTTTTTCATAATTAGCATCTCTTCCTAAGACAACAGAAAAATGGGAGCAGTCCAAATTATTAAATGGCTTCATTTCATCTACCAAAAGTGGGAGAAAGAAGAAGAGGTCTTGTTATCTGCAAGAGTTTAAAGACTTTATTTTAATATTGTTAAACATTCTGTCATTCAAGGCCCAGTTGACCATAACTGTTCTCTTATTTCTCAGTTCATGAACTCTATAATAAAATTATATTTTAAAATAAGGAAATGGTAGCAGGAGAAATTTCAGGAAAGAGAATGCTGGAGATATAATATCTGTGTAGTGGAGCCACCTTTTATTATGTTTTTTGGGAAACTTTTTTTGGGTAATGTATTCGCTGAAATGCTCGAGAATCTAGATTAAGACATGGAAGTACTGACTTGCTAAGAATGAGAGATAATTGTACATAATCATAATAAATATCATCCATCCAGACTACTATTCTGTAAGATTGCATATTCTCTTAGTTTAGGAAAGAAGGATGAAACTCAGCTCTCGGATAAGAGGATGCAACTCTACTAGCTTCAAAGAAATTAGACCTGCACTGGAATTGGTTCATTTATTTTTTATTTTTATATAAAAGCTTACTTGAAATGTCAGTAAAAATTAAACTTTTGATTGATTTTTTATTTTCATAGAGGGCAATTACCCTCCTTGATCATTTGGTAAAAATGAATTTTCCAATATATTAATGAATTTGTGTCTCATTTGTGCTTTGAAGTGTCGGTACCATTCTATAAGTTTTTTTCTCCTTTGAATCTTTTCTTGTAAACTCCTATTTTTCTCTTTTTCTAAAATAGCAGGAAGTTCTTCCCAGTTTTTTACAAAGATAAATGGAGCCCCCATAGTCTTTAGTAATTGCAGTGGAGCTCTATGGTATATAGATGAGTTTCCACACTTGCCTGGTGTCATTACATCTTCTACAACAGGAACAGAGCCATATGAACAAGCTTCATAAATTCTATAGCATTCTGTATTTACTCCCACTGGGCACAATGTGAGATCACTCTGTAGCAATGCATCTTGATAGATTCTAAAACTTTCATTTGTTTCTTGAGGCTGCCACCTAGAAAAATAAAGAAGCAGATAATTAACATCCTGTTTTCCCTGCAAGGATAGTTATATTACAATGAAAAGTAGAGATCCATGTTGTAATTTTAATATCTAGAACTGTTGCACGGTTTGTAACCACAGATCTAGAAATCAGCAAGGTTTTATTTTCAACCCACATTTTCCTAAAAAAAATTTTCAGTATTTTATTCATCTCTAAGCTAGAAACTCTATAAGCACAGTTTTCAACTGAGGGCATTTAAAGGAATCTTTAATGCTTCAAATGCCAGCAAAATAAAAACCATATATACTCATTCATAAACAGATTGACTTTTTATAAAAAAGTGACACAGTTGGCTTTTCAACAGGTTTACATTGTCATCATAGATCAGGGTTTAGCAAACTTCAGTACCCAGCCCATCAGGGTAAGTTGCTGGCATGCTGGGACGTTTTGTGTATCTTAGTGTCTGTAGGCATGGAGCCCCTTATCTCCCTGTGGCTGCGATCCACCATTCCCTGTCAATGGAAGCTGCAGGAAGCAGCATGAGCTGAGGGATGTACTGGCCATCACTTCCCGCCATTCCTATTGGCCAGGAATGTTGAATCGTAGACACTGGGAGCTGCACGGCTCCATGCCTACAGACACTCCATGAAAACAAAATTTCCCAATGCGCCAGCAGCTTACCGTGACAAGCTGGGAACCAAATTTTGCCAACCACTGAAATATAAGATTGGCTTATGAAAAAGAGTCATAGCGGTTTGCCATTTTTATCTAATCATATTGATGGAACAACTTATAAACAAATGGGCTCATGAACAAATATATATGGTAAACTTTAAAATATTCTGCACTGGAAGCCCTTATAAATTCATGAGCTAAACTAGAAGGCTATTAATTGGCTCAAAATAGGCCTGCGGAAATAGAATGCTCTGACAGAATTTTTGAAGCAAAAATATTTTTCCCCCAAAATATTTAAAATCAACAGGGGGATTTATTGTTCTGAAACGAGAATATAAGGCAGCAACTCTCAGTCTCTTCAACTTACTCAGAGGGTCTGAGGTACTTTGTTTTATGCCAGAAATATAATCTCTCTCTAGATATTATATCAACCTCTTTTTCAAATACCATTATCCAAAATTTCAGAAAAAGTGGTAAATTGTTTTATTAAATACTTTTAAAATGTATAATAGACTTTTTTTAACCTTCTATAAGAACAATTTCACAAACTAATTAAGACCAGAATTAATTTGTTTGGTTTAATCATGATAGTCTACCCATTTTATAATCAGAAGGACAGTCCTGCTACGGTATTGAGGTATTACATAAATTATTACACAGGTATTACATAGTATTACACAAAAAGAGAAGCTTGCATTTGCATTCTGTCATCTAGATTGTGCAGGGAACCACATTACCCAAGCCAAAGCACAAAGATGTTTTGGATTAACTTGGTTCAAGTGCTCTTGGACTAGTGACCATGTACAGAGCTAAACCAGATTTGAATATGTATGACTGCTACTCCCGAGTCCTTACAATTTCAATTCTCTTAGTCCTTGTAATTTACCACCCAAGCTTTATAATTGTATTCTATTGGTCTTGCCTCAGGGTTCTTTGTTTTCTTGGCAATCTGATTTGGAATTCTTTTCTCAAATCCCCCTCTATTTCTAAGTCTATTTTTGCAGTCTCTTCTTTGAGAGGGAAGTAATCTTTTTAGCAGATTTCTCTGCCTATGTGTTTATTAGTTCTGCCTTCATTGCAAACTTAGCTAGAGATAGTTAAGCATTGCAAGTTTTAAGACTTCTTCCTATTTTTTTTCTTCCACCTATTCTAATAAATTAGCTAATCTAAAATAGATAATTATTCATACACAGAATACAGGCAGTCCCCGACTTACGCGGATCTGACTTATGTCGGATCCGCACTTACGAACGGAGCTTTCTCGCCCCGGAAGTCGGGGCGAGAAAGCCCCGTTCGTAAGCTGCTCCGGTGCCCCTGGTCTGCTTTCTTCAGCAAAGTGTAGCTCTCTGCTTGCAGAGAGGAAGAGAGAACAAATGACATAACAGATGTTAATCATGTTACTTAATGCACTGCTGGAAGAAGGTGCTCAGATACTATGGTGAGGAATGCAATATAAGTGCCTACATAGAATAGAATACTTTTGGTCTGAGAGAGGCTCTGTGGAACCTCCCATGTTAGTTATCTCTGGGTAATTCCATAACAAATTTGGAATTACTAACTGGTTAAAGTAATGGTATTTTTTTTCTGTCAGCCCTCCCGGTTTAACAACTGAAAATAAAACTGGGGAATTTTTCCTTTTCACGCATTATCACTACAGGCAGTCCCCGGGTTACGTACAAGATAGGGACTGTAGGTTTGTTCTTAAGTTGAATCTGTATGTAATTCGGAACTGGCTCCCCAAGTCAGCCGCTGCTGAAACTGACCAGCGGCTGACTACAGAAAGTTGCTCTGCCCCGGGCTTCCTGGAATCAGCTGCTGATCAGTTTCAGCAGCAGCTGACTTGGGGACGCCTGGGGTTCTTAAGTTGATTCTGTATGTAAGTCAGAACTGGCGGTCAGTTTCAGCAGTGTCTGAATCTGGACGCCAGTTCCGACTTACATACAGATTCAACTTAAGAACAAACCTACAGTCCCTATCTTGTACGTAACCCGGGGACTGCCTGTATGGGAAACTGAAAACAATCAAAACAGTTTTTCACGAAATCTTTTTAGTACAGGCAGTCCCCGGGTTACATGGATCCGACTTACATCGGATCCCTACTTACAAACGGGGTGAGGCAACCCCGCACTAGCTGCTTCCCCCCAGCAGACCAGGGAGACGCAAAGCTAGCACCCCTCCCAGCAGACCAGGGAGACGTGGAGCGGCTTTTCTCAGCAGACACCTCAGCTTGAGAATAAAGGGCTGAGGGAAGTGAGGTGTGGGAGAATAAAACTGAGCTCTGGAGAAATGTTTGGCTAGAGTTTCCCCTACAATATGTACCAGTTCCGACTTACATACAAATTCAACTTAAGAACAAACCTACAGTCCCTATCTTGTACGTAACCCAGGGACTGCCTGTATTATTATTTATATTTCAAATGGAGTAAAGTATTTACTAAGTGTGACAAAATTGGCACTCATCTACAGGCATATTTGAATCCTGAAAATCTTTGTGTTCAGAGAATCTTGTTTGTAAACATATATATCTTACATAAGTTAATTTTAATATGGCCTGCATGTTTAATTCTAAAACTCTAAAAACAAATTACAAGTTGAACCTCTCTGGTCTGGCAACATCCGTGATCTGGCATGATTTTAGTTAGCCAGATGTCCAGTTATCATGGGTGTAGCCAGTGCTTTTTTTTTGTAAAAAAAAAAAAAAAAGTACTCCAGGCTCCAACTTATTGAAGGCGGGAGGGGAGGGAGAGGGGGCAAGGGAGGGGAGCAGAGCGCTGGGGGCCAAAATGCCTTCGCGCCCTTGTAAGAGCTGACAGCCAGAAAAAAAAAACGCCTCATGTCCCAAGCAGGCTTCTGTCAGGAGACGAACTGCCCAGGAAAATAGGTGCTGGTACACTGGGGGAAATGCTATTCCTTTACTGTGTGCTATGAAAATAGGTGATGGTACACCATTCTGGGCTGTACCGTCACAAAAAAAGCCTTGGGTGTAGCCAAGTTTCCCACAGCCCCATAAAGTTTGTTTTTAGCCACCAGTCCTGGCTTCCAGTGTTCTGTGCTGTTATTTAGCTCTAATTTACCCCAACTGTCTTGAAAGAGCCCAGTAAGCAGTGAAAGTGTTGGTAATGCTGCTAGACAATATTGACACACAATGGTTCAGCAAATTCTCTGGTTTGGCCCTGGTCAGGTACAGAGGGTGCTGGACTAAAGAGATTAAACCTGTAATTCTTTTTTAGATGATTTCAAGGAGCAAACATTATCCCTCAATTCTTTACAAAACTAGAGACACCTGAATAGCCATGACACTTCTTCCTTCAGTCCACCCATTGTTTCCTTAGGAGCTGTACCAAACTTTATTATAAATGTAAATATTCAATGAATAACTGTGCATCTCCACTAATTTAAGGGACTACCTATATGATCCTGCCAAGATTTAAGGTAGAAGATGTTAAAAGCAAATTAAAAGTACCACTAGAACTTATTTCAGTTAGTCAAAAGATCTGTTCTACTCTTGAAGATACAAAATGAACGATATTGTTAAACTGAAGCCAGCATCTTTATACTGGGTTGGCTACACAAAGCTGTGGTTTCATCTCTCTCTCTTCTGGTAGGTAGATAATATTCAAAGGATGTACAGTACAGATTTTTAATACCCACTGCCCCTTCAATCAAAACCAGATGCATCTTTGAGAAGACAAGACTGGTTGTACTATGTTGGAGCACTTTGAAAGAAATATCTAAGTCACAACCACAGTATAAAGTGTTGTTGCACACAAAGATGTTAAGTCACTTAAGATTTGTATGGAAATCTTCACTCAGCAAGATTTTTATTGTCATTATTAATACTATTTTATTTACAACATATTTTAAAAGAGATGACAACAGTGATTTAGGAAAGGGGTTTGAATAATTCAGCTAGCAAACTATATATTTATGAAGTAAATCATAGCTCTTACTGTTCTCTGGCTGCAATCCAACAGAGTTTATCAAGCCCGTCTTGTTTCAAAACTTCCATTAACTTCTCCCTAGATGAATTCTTATACACAGTTCCTAAAAAATTACATAGATATGATCTTGGAGAACGTAGCATTGACCAGTTGGGCTCTACCATGGGGAAATTCCTATATCTGTAACAAAAATACGTATGTTAGATGTAAGTATTTTTATGTCAAAGAAAAAATAGTGTACACTAGATGGACCCTTTGCACCGTTTCATGTTTATATAGCAATTTTTGAGAACTGGGATAGCTTTTAATCAGTTCCAATATTTAACTACTGAAAACTTTAAAAATAAAGTTGCCAAACACTGATGTATAATTATCATTATCCCTTTGGGGTTTTTTCCAGTTCATACTCTGAAAGACCCCTAACTTCTTTTAGAGAGCAACAAATGGAATTATGCATATATACTACAGAATGCACATCTAAAACATTCTGTTTCAATAGCAGCTGTTCTCAATACAACCACTTGTTTTGGCTGAAGTTGCTGGGTTAGTGGTTCCTTTGGAATTGACGTTTCAGTAATTTGAATCAGATGAAAGTGTATGCTGTAAAAATAATGTGTATACTCCAAAATGAAAACTCAACTGTATCCCTATAACCTGTGCATCTTCACCAATTTAATCTCTGAATTAAACTCCAAGTCACTGATTTTAGTCAGTATAACAGAACCACTGGCTTAGCTAAACAGATCACAGTTACTTTCATGATCTAAATCCAATTTACCACACTTGTATGTTAATGTTAAATTACATCCCTTTTACAGCTGTCACATTTTCAAAATTAGCTAGGATTTTCTTTTTAAGTTTGTTATTAGGGCTGGGTCAATAATACTGCTGATTTCCCTTCTATTTCTATATTTGTTTTATATGATTACAGTAAGGAAACAATTTGGGAAACACATGCATTGACCATAAGATTGTCCTTGTTTCAAAACAAGCCTTTATCACTTTCCTTGACTTCTCCATTGCCTTTGGTATGGATGATCATACTCTCCCCTTCTGAACATCTTATTACCCCCCTCCGTCCCACTCCCAGCTTTCACAACTCTGTCCTTTCCTGGTTCTCCTATTTCTTTGGACAGCAATTCGGCACTTCTTTCAGAGGTTCTCTCTCTTCTTTGCCCTTGTTACTCACTGTAGGTTTCCTTCTAGATTTTTACTTGTTTTCCCCACTTCTCTCTGCCACTGTCTCTCACACACTCTTCATTTGGATAGTTACATCCATTTATGTGGCTTTAGCTTCCACTTCTACATCATTACCGCAAATCTACCTTTCCACTGCTGACCCCAGTCTCACTTTCTCTCCCTCCTTCTCTTCTCAGTCCTGTATCCAAACCTATTTTATCTAGGGCATTTCCTTCTAGTTGTGTCATTGTCATAATATTTTCAAAATTGAATTTCAACTTTCCTTACAAACACCAGTTCTCTTCCATTGTGGAGGGTCTGTTTTCTTTCCAAATTTCCCTCTGTTTATAATCTTGCATATTTTAGAAATGTGCACCTGTCTGTCCGTCCATCAGTCCATTTATTCAAGAACTCTTCCTAAATGGTAAGAGTTAGGACCACCACATTTGATATGTAGCTTCCGCTTATCGTAACTTAAAGCAAGGTCAGACACATAGATAAACATACTTTGTTGGGGGAAAGTCAACATGGTTTCCGTAAAGGGAAATCATGTCTTACTAATCTGCTACAGTTCTTTGACAGGATCAACAAATATGTGGACAAGGGGGATCCAATGGATATAGTATACTTAGATTTCCAGAAAGCCTTTGACAAAGTCCCTCACTAAAGGCTTTTAAATAAAGTTAGTTGTCATGGGATAAGAGGGAAGGTCCTTTCATTGACTGATAACTGGTTAAAAGACAGGAAACAAAGGGTAGGAATAAATGATAAGTTTTCAGAGTGGAGAGAGGTAACTAGTGGGGTTCCCCAAGGTTCTGTCTTGGGACCAATTTTATTCAACTTATTTATAAACTATCTAGAGAAAGGGGTAAGCAGTGAGGTGGCAAAATTTACAGATGATACCAAACTGCTCAAGACAGTTAAGACCAAAGCAGACTGTGAAGAGCTTCAAAAAGATCTCACCAAACTAAGTGATTGGGCAACAAAATGGCAAATGGAATTTAATGTTGATAAATGTAAAGTAATGCACATTGGAAAAAATAATCCCAACTATACGTACAATATAATGGGGACCAATTTAACTACAACTATTCAAGAGAGAGCTCTTGTAGTCATTGTGGATAGTTCGCTGAAAATATCCACTCAGTGTGCAGCAGCAGTCAAAAAAGCAAATAGAATGTTAGGAATAATTAAAAAGGGGATAGAGAATAAGACAGAAAACATCTTATTACCTCTATATAAAACCATGGTATGTCCACATCTTGAATATTGCGTATAGATGTGGTAGCCTCATCTCAAAAAAGATATATTGGCATTGAAAAAGGTTCAGAAAAGGTCAACAAAATTATTAGAGGTTTGGAATGGGTCCCATATGAAGAGAGATTAAAAAGGCTTGGACTTTTCAGCTTAGAAAAGAGGAGACTAAGAGGGGATATGACAGAGGTCTATAAAATCATGACTGGTGTGGAAAAAGTGAGTAAGGAAAAGTTATTTACTTATTCCAATATAAGACCTAGGGATCACCAAATGAAATTAATAGGTAGCAGGTTTAAAACAAACAAAAGGAAGTTTTTCTTCACTTAGCACAAAGTCAACCTTTGGAACTCCTTGCCCGAGGATGTGGTGAAGGCTAGGAATTTAACAGGGTTAAAAAAAAGATAGATAGATTCATGGAGGTCCAATGGCTATTAGCTAGGATGGGTAGGAATGGTGTCCCTAGCATCTGTTTCTCTGGAGGTGGGCGACAGGGGAGGGAAAATATGAGGATTACCTGTTGCATTCCCTCCCTCTGGGGCATCAGGTATTAGCCACTGTCAGCAGACAGGATACAGGGCTGGATGGACCATTGGTCTGACCCAGTATAGCCATTCTTATGTTCTTATGGTTGTGCCAGGGCAATGGGATGTGCCTGGAATTCGATGGTTTCTCTTACAATGGAAAGGGATGGGTGTGGTAGGAGGAGCAGTTATATTATAAAATGACCACAGGAGAGCAACAAGGGTCCAGAGATGGGGACCGGGACAAATATAACCCCATTGAGGCAGCAGGGGGTAGAGGTGGAGAAAGGGACAGCTGTCTACTATATATTTCAGAGATTTTGTCTGTTTGTGTGTGTGTCTGTCTGTCCTGCAGCAGAGGACATGCACCTTGCCTCAGGTTTGCCCGCTGCAGCTGCAGTGGCCAAGGACAAGCACTTTTCAACCAAGCTGCTGCGGTGAGAGAGGGCTGGGGTCATCCTCTCTCCACAGGGCAGCCTGCATACTGAACCCCTCCTCCCTAGCCTCAACCCATAACAATGATTTCTATGAAAAACAAAACTTATTTAAGTTAAGGATCCAAGCCATGCCGGGTCGGTCTTCTAGTGACTTGCAATGTGGACCACAAGTTTTCTAATGGTCCACATTACAAATTCAACATGGATCTGAAAATTAAGCTTTCTGGCTTGCATTATCACCATTGATAATAGAGATTGTGCAGTTGGAATAATTCTGTTAATATGGAATAAGACAGGAAAGAACAAAGATAACTCTTCCACAACTAGAGCCACGGTACAGTGTTAACAAAATTAAAATGTAGTTAAAAATTGCAAGGCAGTTTATTATGATCCTAGAATTTACCATTTACAAAAATTCAAAGGGTATAAAATGTATTAGCCACAAGACAAAGAAACACCATTTCCTCCAAAAAATAAAGCACAATCTATACCTCCAATTTTGATTCCCTTATTAAGCCCAAGAGCTCACAGAACTGCCTCTCATTCCTGCAGCAGATCTTTCCACAGACCAACTTACCTCTGAAAAAATCTTTTTTACTTCACCCTGGAAAAGGGTTTTAGCCAGCCTTGATCTTAAAGAGAAAGCAACCGATTGCACTTACTTTTTTACACTCAAATTCTAGTCTATCTATGTTTGCTCTTATTATGTGTTCAGAGTGCCTTTCAGAATGACAAAAACATACAAAGTGATTTATATTGGCATATTATTTTTTTTGCTTGTCCTTCCCCTATCCCAACTGTGGAAAGCTATGTACATAATTTGTAATGTTGTTTAATCCTTATGTAAATGCTAACAGATGGTCATGTCGGCAAATTTGACACTGATCTGTCACAAGAAGCCCATGAGCATGCTCACTTTTTAAAAACATAGCTGCACTTTAACTTACATTTACCTTTAAAATTTCTGAATCTTAATTTTGATAGTTAAAACCAGCAGCATGAATCAAAGTCAAGTTCTGCATCTTGCTTAACAGTTACAGACAGCAGAAATTATGGAATTTTTATATATAAAATGTTTGAGATGTATTGCTACAGATAAAAACAAAAAAGCATGTACAGTTCATGCATAATTGATTCTTCGAGTGTAATTTGTTTACGTTTAACACTTACGTAGCTACTCCTAAAGGCCACTGGAAAATATCTTCTTCATTTACCCAGGTACTGTCATATACTATAAAAAGTAGTTCCACAAATCCCCCGTGTCTTTTCATGTAGGGGTGAATCCATTCATTGTTACACTGCTCACTTCCAAGCAGCACAACTGCAATATGCCGCAGCTTGTGAGTTTGTATTAAAGTTTGTGCATAATGTAACCACTGAGTGGCATAAGTGATCTTTGCATCCTCTCTTCCATTCAGAATGAGAACCACATTATCAGCTTCTACTGAAAAGTATCCAGGGACTACGGCTGGACCAGTGATGAAACTGTGAATAATAAAACACAAGCACTTAACATATTCTGAGATATGTTATCAACCTTTATACATATTCCGTTTACTATATTGTAAACAATCTGCCTGTAGTGTTTGCAAGTATTGTTTCTTCATTAAAATAGACATTATGTAACGCAAACTACCTTTGCTGTTGTGACAAATTTCAGATGTACTGAATCTAAAACTATAATTTAAACTTTATTAAAGCTGGGTTTGGCCTTTTACCTGAACAATAAAGAAATTCAAAACTAATTTCAAACAGTGTATTGCACAGACATCGGAACCGTAACTATATTCAAATATTGAAAAAAATCTCCAATTAAAACTAAGCAGCACGTAAGCGCATAAGAACGTTAAGAACGGCCATACTGGGTCAGACCAAAGGTTCATCTAGCCCAGTATCCTGTCTGCCGACAGTGGCCAATGCCAGATATCTCAGAGGGAGTGAACAGAAACAGGTAATCATCAAGTGAGCTCTCTCCTGACATCCATTTCCAGTCCCTGACAAACAGAGGCTATGGACACCATTCCTACCCATTTTGCCTAATAAGTATTGATGGATCTAACCTCCATGAATTTATCTAGTTCTTTCTTAAACCCTGTTAAAGTCCTAGTCTTCACAACCTCCTCTGGCAAGGCATTCCACAAGTTGACTGTACACTGTGTGAAGAAAAACGTCCTTTTATTTGTTTTAAAGATGCTACTTACTAATTTCATCTAGTGACCCCTAGTTCCTAAAATTCCTACCATAATTAATTAGGGAACACTGCCATCTGTGACATGGGTCACAAACTTGTATTCTTTTAAAAAAAACAATGCAAAATACCACCATAGGGACTGAAAATCTTCAGCTTCATAAGAAATAAGAAATCCATAGCACTGTATTATAGGAATGTAAAATCCCGTTTAAATAGTTAACCTGTTAAACCAATTAAAGGGGCTCCCCCCGCCTGCCAAGTCTGGGCTGGAGCGGCCTTCTTGCCACAGGCAGGGGCTACTCACTCTAGCCTGGTTGGAGCAGCCCCTGCCTGCTAGGCACCCAGGCTCTGGATGACTGGAGCAGCTCCTATCTGCGGTGGAACCCCACGGGGCTGTAGCCCCCCACGAATTAACTGGAACGGTAAACATTAGAGATGCAGACATGTGCTCGTGTACATGGTTAACCGATGAACCTGGGCTTATTGGTTAACCCTCAGGGTTACACACAGGCTTTCTTCCACCCCACCTCCCGTGCTTCTGCCTCTGCGCATGGGGAGCTGGCTTAAAAGCCTCTGATGCCACTGCTTTCTCCCCCCACATGTATACATGCAACTGCTGAAAAATTCAGCAGATATAGGTTTTCAAAAATACCCACATTTTAACATCCCTAGTACGCATCACTCATTAAAGGTGATGCTTATTGGTTAACCTTTCACATCCCTACTGTATTATCACAGATACTAGTGTGGAAGGAAGGATGATCCAGTGGGGAAGTCACTAGCTTGGAATTCAGGAGATCAGTATTCAATTCTCTGCTCTATCACAGATCTACTATGTGACCTTCACCTCTGTGCTTCAATTCCCCACCTGTAAAATGGGTGTAGCACTTTTCTAACGGGAAGGGAGATACATACATTAATAAATCTTAAGGAGCTCAATTACTACAGTAATAGAGGGGTCATTAGAGAGCCTGGACAGATATCTCACTTCAATCTCATTTAATCATTAAGCCTGACCTTAAAAATGCTTATGCATGTGTATAGTCTCACTGAAGTAAATGAGACAACACACATACGTGAAGTTAAACATATCTATAAATACTTGGGTTCTGATCCTGCAAACAATCTAGGAAGGAAGTCGGAGTTAATGTTCTAAAAATTCCCTGTGTGTAACTTAGAACTGGGAAGATGGATTACTCTGAATGTCAAATGTGACTCTGTTCTCCACTGTGTTTGTGTTTATATTTACATTTAAAAAGTTCTAGGGAGGTTAAATTCTTGGGGTAGGTCCATCATGTTCTGTAAAGCCACCATGTTCTGCCTGAGAACAAAGAAATACCCTGATTTTGTTTATATGCTCATTTTGGCAGTTGTCTCTAGAGTTAATATTTTTTTAAATACCCACATAAAAAAGTCTCAGTGTCCTCTTATAATTTACACTAGCAAAACAACCCTTCTCCACAAGCAGCATACAAGCTATAATAAGAACTACAAATAAACTCCATGATGTAGTAGCATTCAATAGTCAAATACAGATAAGAATTTACTTCAGACAACCAACAAATAAAAAAATGAAAAACCTCCAGAAAAAGCCTCTCACTCCCACTTTACACCTAAAAACACACCCTTCACACAAATGTCAAATGCATTTGTGTGAATGCACACAAATACTTCACACAAAAACCTTTCAAACAAGTGGATACTGTGTTGTGACTGGAAATCATCAAGTTCAGACTATTTTGGATTAAGGAAACAGATTACTCATAGATAGAAGGAGAGAATTCACCTTTTTATACTTAATGCAAAATGTTATAACTAACCTAGCCAATGTTTAACTTTTTGTATTGATACTTTCATTTTTTAACTTTGAATTCTGGAAGTATATGAAGTGTGAATTGAGTTTGCTTAAAACTGAGAATTGGGAATTTTTTTCCTCTAAATAGATTAAAATAATCTGGAGAAATCCAGAAGATAGCCTATTTGAATGCCAGTAAAGACATCCATTCTCCAAATGAGACAGACATTAAGAAATTACACAAATTTGCTAACTATTATTCACCTGAAACTGACAGATAATTTAAAGAAGACACGTCCTTAACCAGTCAAGATTGAAAAAAACCTGTAAGTGTAGCAAAATATTTCTATCTCTAGTTAAAGCCAGGGCTTGAAAAATATTCTCTTGTCCACAGCAAATATCAAACTTTTCTGGGAGACTTAACACCAGTTTATATAGATTATACAAATTCTGGTTTTGAAACAAAGGTATAGTCCTGAAAAGATAATTTTTCAAACTTCGGTTCTACTCAAAGATGAAAGAATGCAGTGCTGTCTGCCTGAGACTGCAGATGGACAGCTCCTGTGCTGTACTCAGAGTTTTCTCAAAGTGCACTGGTATCACTCAGAAGGCATTCAGCCACTTGCAGGATCAGACTCTAAATGCAAACTTTGTACTGAAGAGTTTTCTCTTGTACCTAGTCATACAAAAGCCATTCTGAGCATTAAAAGGCTAGCAAATTACATTACAAACAAACTGATGACTTTCACCCTGTTAGGCTGAACCACAAGTCAAAGGGTCCACACAAGACAGTGAACATCACTTATGCTGTTATGTGGAGGCTTAAGTAGGACATAGGTCCTTTTGCAAAAGGTTGTAGAGACTACTATTGTAATCTGTAGACTGGAAGAGTGGCCATAAAGGAGGGTGAATTCCAACCCTGCCAGCTTTCACTGAGTTTTTTGCACAAAGCCTAATTTTTCTGACTGTAAACAGTGATGGGCAATAGGATTTTTCTAGTAATTTTAGACGTTACTTTGTAATCAAACTGTCATACAGACTATATTCAACACAAGGTCTGAAATTAAAGCATGGCAATAAATATGTTCATCGTTGGTCAGAATGAATTACCAAAACAAGCATTTGATAATTTTGGCAGGCAAAAAAGCAAACAGAATGTTAGGAAGCATTAAAAAAGGGATAGAGAATAAGACACAAAACATCTGATCACCTCTATATAAAACCATGGTACACCCATATCTTGAATACTGTGTACAGATGTGGCCGCCTCGTCTCAAAAAAGACATATTGGTATTGGAAAAGGTCCAGAAAAGGGCAACAAAAATGATTAGGGGTTTGTAATGGGTCCCATATGAAGAGAGATTACAAAGACTGGGCCATTTCATCTTAGAAAAGAGGAGACTAAGGGGGATATGATAGAGGTCTATAAAATCATGACTGGTGTGGAAAAAGTGAATAAGGAAAAGTTATTTACTTTTTTCCATAATACAAGAATTCAGGGTCACCAAATGAAATTAATAGGAAGCAGGTTTAAATCAAACAAAAGGAAGTTTTTCTTCACTTAGTGAATGGTCAGCCTGAGGAACTCCTTGCTGGAGGAGGTTGTGAAGAGCAGGACTTTAACAGGGTTCAAGAAACAATTACAAATACTTTTCCTTTTATAAATATTAAAATATTTACAATTGTTGGAGCGGGAGCAATAAAATATATAACTGGACACCTTTTCTTGCAATGTTTATTTTTTTTTAACACAGAGTCAGCTAAAGTCAATATAAGAGAAGGTCAGTGTCATGCAACTGGTACCTGAAATGCGTTTTCCCTCCCTTTATATTTCCTTCTCTCCACTGAGCAGTCACAGCAGCAGGTTCAATCAGACCTTCAAGAATATGTTGCCAGAGATAAAGACCTATATAAATAATAAAGAGAATGTTGGAGTACTTGGTACACACCTGGCATCTTTTGTCTATAGTAAAAAGCATACCGAAAGGATTTTTTTCAGGAAGCACGAGGTGGGATATGATGTTAAATTTTTCTATTTAACAGGGGATGTTGCCTCACTTCCCAAAAATAAACAAGCCAACCCCTGCTCTTCAGAATTAGAAAGGGAGCATTTTCCACATCAGGCCAAACTTTGGGCAATTATTTTTAAAATCATAGAGAGTGTCCTATTAACTGCTGGACAAGAAAATCAAAAGTGACTGAGTAGATATAATGCTCAACATTTTAAGAAATATTATCAGCTTTAAGTACACTTGTCAGAGAGTGACTGGGTCCTTTAAAAGGCATGTGATTGACTACTTGCTGCCCAGTTGCAGTTAAGGGATAGCCTCTGGACTCCATAAACATGGACACAGCTGGCAGGAGGGGTTGGCAGATGCTCACAGATACTACAGGGAATAAGAAGGCTACTGCAGGGCCCTGAGTCCAGAGGGAAACAGACCCTCATGAAACTGGGATGAAGACTTTGTAAGTTTGATTCTATTTTGAAATACTTTGTGTAGATCTTAATACACCCCCTAAAGGTCAGTGCTTTGAATCTGGAATGTACCTTTTTAAGGGACCCTGAGTGAAAACCTCGTAAGAGCCACAGGCAGACACACACATGGCCAGGAGGGGAGAACTGCAGTATAGTCATGCCCAATTACATAATTTGAAGGCATGAGAACAAGTGAGTATGTGTTTGTGGTGGGTTCCCCCTGAAACATGGAATATTCTTACAATGGAAAAAACACCAGCATCTGACTACAAAAGACCACCTTTTTATTGTTACAGTTTCAATGAAAAATCCTTCAAAAGTTCCATTTACATTTCAAGAAAGTCAAGGTCGTCTGGAGTTTTCTGGATAGAGAAATGCAACACTTTCTAAGATGGAGGAATTTTCAGGTTTATGATTATTAGTGCCAAGAGAAAGGTGTTCACTTTTAGATAATTAAGGCCCCAATTTTGCAAGCAGTTACACACATCGGTTCAATATGAACACTAACATGTTTTAAATTATATATGGAAATGTTGTAGGTGGGTCACTGCATCCAGGGCCATATTAATTCATCAGTAGGCCCTGGCGTATCCCAAACGTACACTTTGGACAGCACAATGCAAATGGGGGATCTTGAGAGGAGGGGACAGCTTGGAGACTAAGCCCACACCACACTTATTCTGCAGAAGCAGCAGCTCCTGTTTCACAGGCCAGGACCCAGCAATCCATTCTGGGTGTTGTAAGATGGCACATGGAGTCCACAACTCTTAGGTCCTGCCAGGCGCCACAGCTCTTCCCCAGCCTTGTGGGACAGAAGCCACTGTTGAAGGCTGAGCTTGGGCAAGGATCATTTCTAACTCCCCCATGTCATGGCCTCCCTTTTACACTGGGTTGCAGTATCAGGGCAGAAGGTGGTGCATATATGTAATCATAGAGGATCGCACACAAAAAAAGGGGGAAAAAGAACAATGTGTTTGGTGAGTCATCCTAGTAAAAAGTTTGGGACGAGAACCAATCTGCACAACCCACATGATGATTCTTCTTTCTTAACTTCTGATCTAGAAGCTAGCATGGAAAAGTATTCAGTGGGACTCATCAGTTTTTTGAATGAACAACTCAAATCTAACTCTATTTTCTTAGGATAATCCAGTAAAAAGAATCCCTGACAGCAGAACAGGATAAACAAATGATCAAATATACCAAAGAACTGCAGTTTCTTTCTACTGTGTCCTGTATACAGTTCTTAGTAAAAAATACTTTCCACTTATACCAGGTTTTCCACCTGTACATAGCACAGTACTTTAAACAGGTAAACTCACTGTTATACTCATTTTACAGACTGGAAAAAAGAGACACAGAAAAGTTAAGTGACTTGCCAAGGTCACTTAGCAGTAGTAAACATATTAATCATAAGTGCTCACCAATGGCTGCTTTACCCCAGATCTGTACTCTGAGGTCTATTTGTTCTTGCTGGGATTTCATATGTTTTAACAGTTGAAGGTTAGTTTCATATCTCTGCTGTGAAGCAATCTGCTCATTTTTTTCATCTCCTTCCCAAGGATTCCATTCTTCATTTCCCAAAGAAGAGCGTTCTATGTTTGAAAGACACGCATTTTGCATTAACAACCTCAGGTCTACAAGTCTACTCCTAAGTGTCACAGAAATAACAGGTGTCACTTCAGTAGATGTTTTCTAAGGTACTGACCCACAGCAAAACTATTTTTACAACAAACTTATCAGCCACGGCTACAACACAGATTGCACTTGTGTTCATTGGACTAGTCAACAATGGCAAAAATTAGACTTCTATTTCCTCACAAGTAGCAACAGAGGAAGCTTTAGCATAGCTGGGCTCAGGTCTGCCCAGACAGGATTGGGGGTCTATGCTTATACAGCACCTAGCATAAGAGCACCCTGAGTTCTACTGGGAATCTATGTACTAACATAATAAAAAGTAAATGTTTTCATCCAGGGAATGAGAAATTTTCACTTTGTGGAAGTCCCCATAAGCAGCTTCTGCAATGAAAGACTGCAGAGGGTGAGGAACAAGACAACCAAGACAGATCTGTATTTTCCTTATTATAGTACCTAAATTCAAGATGCTGGAAATATGCATTTTCCACTAAGGTGACTTGTATATAAAGTTACATCTCACTGATGACAAATACAAAGAATATTTCACCAAAATTGGGAACTGACTAACTCTTTTAGCCAGAATAAGCCCTGTATTGAATTAGGAGATAGATTATGAATCACTACTACTTTAGTAAAATCCCACATTCAAAACGAATTGGCCCTAAAAGGAAAAGGTTTCAGAACAAACTGGCACAATGGATCATGTACATGACATCAAAGAAGTGGACCTTATACAAAAAAAGTTTAATTGTGCTGCACGCAGAAGCTCTGCCCACTCCCAGTCATTATAAGTCAATATGGATACAGAAGTCAAAAAGTTTTGGGGTAGTTTTGATAAACACCTAAATTATCCTTAGTTATTACACTGTCTCTTTAGGAGAGAAGACATAAGCAATGTTCCTCACTGGGTATTTAAGTTTTAGTGCTAGGAAATATAGTTGGTAAGCTTAAGAAAATTTCCAGTTTGCCTGCTCTCTTCCCATCGATATAGGTATTAACTGCTGGTCCCGATTCAAGCTGCAGTTAGAAAACCAATGATGTGCTTTAAAATGTCAGCATTTCTATATAAATAGGCTTGGCACAATTTGATTTTTATATAATTTTGATTCAGTATAGATGTTTATTTTTAAATATTTTGTTTAAATATCACAATTCCAAGAAACTAGGAGGGTGGGGTTCACACAATTTAACGACAGTAAACACTGAAGTTCAACAGATTACTGTATTATAATCCATAAACCCAAACTGTCAACATCATGTCAAAATATGTGAAGTAAATACCATTAAATCAACAAGCCATACCAGTTTTTTTTTATTCACTTTTTTACTTGAATAAATTATCTTACTTTGTCTATCTGTAGATTTTGATGGTAAGTGATGGAAATATTTTTCAGTATGCAGTGTTGTCAAGCTCAAGTGGGTGAAGATTTCCTTTGGGGAGGCTAGTCTCCACCCCGCTTAGCTGCCCCTCCAGGGAATGGGACAAAGAGGTCAACCTCAGCCAGGTCAAGCTCTCAGCCTGGACTGGGACCTACAGTAGCATTCTTGATCCTCTCCAATGCTCTGAGACTATAGTCCCTCTCCCACAGTTTGAGACTACAGCAGTGAAGTGCCAAACTCCTCCCTTTTCTGCAACTTCTGCCCACCCCCACTCTGCCTCTTTCTCCCTAGGCCCCACACCCTGTTGACTCATTTTTTCCCTCCCCTCTCTGCTGTTGCCCCAGACCAGAAAATCAGTGCCCCCATTCCTAGGCAAAGGGAGATTTTTGTGGGGGCCTCAAATTGGCCAGGGCCCCTGAGATAATCCGGCACTCTCCCCTCTAGGGTTGCCAGATGGTTTCAACAAAAATACTGGACACACTTGACATTACATCACAATCTACATTACATCTTATTTAGAAAATACCAGACATTTATATTTTCTCAATTTGTTTCCTGAACTGAGAGCTCAAATACTGGACTGTCTGGTTCAATACCTGGCAACCCTATTCCCCTCTACTCCTGACAGTGTGAGGCTTGGGTAGGTTTAGCAACCCCGGCCTCCATTACATGAGTGTAGTTGTAGCCAAGTTGGTCCCAGAATATCAGAGGTAATAGCTTTCCTGGACCAACTTCTAGGGTTGCCAGGTGTCAGGATTGGCCAGGACAATCTGGTATTTGCAGCCTCTATCCAGTAAAAAATAACACAGAAAATACCAGACAGGTAAAATGTCCAGTATTTTCTTGGACAGAAGGCTGCTTGGGACATTTTTGCCCTGTTGCATCTGGTGGGGGGAGCAGGGAGATTTTCAGTGTCTTTCCTCCCCCCCCC